CAATGGGATCACTTTTGTGGATGCCAAGGGGCGAGAAAGTTTGGGGAGCTGACTAGGCAATCCCTATGCATAGTCAAGTTTGAGGACACCACTGCCTCAAATGTGGGTGTCCCTGTCCCCATCAGGGCCAGCTTCCTTCCTCTCTGCTCCACAGACTCTGCCAGGACAATTCCATCCACCCCCAGCTCCAGCTCCGGTAGCCGCAGACCTGCTCAGATCTCCCGCCTGAGATCCACAACCATACGCCCAATTGCCTTTGGCCATGAACTGTTCAATGTACCGAGGGTCCCTCAAAACCATTATACTCCAGGCCCAGGGCAGAAGATAAACCTCATCGTCCTAAAGCAACGCATCTGAACTTAATGCTTATTGAATATCCTTTATGTAAAAAGTATTGTGACAGCGCCAAGATAGATTAAAATGGCAGAGATGAAGTTCCTGCCGTAAATAACTACGATCTATGGGGGAGGTGTCATCCCACTGTTACAACTAAAGCAGCCAATCGATGACTCTCATCATTGATGTTTCTATCTCTCTCTCCCTCTCCCTGAAATCAATAAAAACATTAAAAAAAAAAAAAATCCACCCGGGAGAAAGAAAGATGCAGTAGGAGATGGAGCCAAACCACAGGGGATACGAGCATTATTCATAGGAGCAGCTTTGAGACAACAGCAGAAAAATCTAGAAATGAGCAGTATGTTGATACGGAGCAGGTGGTCGTAGCAAAGAGGAGGGGGGAAGAGAAAATTAGAAAACAGCAGGGACGTAGCCTCACCTGGCACAGCACAGGCTCAGGGGAGGCTGGCACCGGACGAGGGCAGGCTGATGGTGAGAGGGGAAGCAGTGGAAGGTGCAGTGGCAGTAAATCAAGTCAGACAGACGGACATGTGATCCAGGGCCCCTGGGGCTCGCGTGCTCTCGTCAACAGGAACGGTGATGGGCTCGAGGACGGTAGACGAGAGTGGGCCAGCAGGTTTCAGTCCATGCGTGGTCAATGCGAACACCCAACCTGGGAGAGAATCTTATTACTGACCCTCAATTTGGAAAGAAAATATATAAAAAATAGTATTGCTATCAGAAAGTGAGGCTTGGCTTGCCTTGCAAGAGAACCTGTCTGTTAAGTTTTTAGGTCTACAGTTGTTTATTTATTCAGACAGGAAGTATGAGGTGTCTGGACCACAGGGCAGACTTGTTCACAGAGCACCTTAGCCGGCCCAGCTCCCGCGCCCCGATTTCCCAGGGGGTGACGTAGCGAGGCAGGGCTGAAGCTGTGGAGCTCTGAGCTTAGACAGGCGGCTGGCACATTTGCCCCACCTTTCCTCTTTGGGCAGCTTGGGTGATGGTACATGGGAGCAGGGGAGACAGAGATACAGATAAAGACAGAGACAAAGAGACAGCAATAGAGATAAAGATCGGGGGGAACCTTTGGTGGAATGTAAACTAATATCCTCTGGGGATAGGAAGGGAAGCTTTTTTAATTATTACCCTTTTTAATATAAACAAATGGCTCCAGAGAAGACTTTAAATTCCTCCGGAGCAATGCACAACCTCTAACCTCAAACCATCCTTAACTTGTGTTCGGTTATTTTTGCTGAGAAGGCCCTGACTGCATGAATATGGACATGTTCAAGAAGAGTTATTTCCCAACACAAAAGAACTGACTGTCTTACAGTTGAATAAATTGCACTGATTCTCTGTGATCACACCTATTTTCCAAGTAGCTCCATTTCTAATGAGCCTGAACCACCCTGCTTTCCACTCTTTGTTTACTGTGCCCTCCCCCACACCATGGCTCTCTCTACCTGTCCTTCTGAGAGCCCGTGTTTCTGCAAAGGCGCCTCCGATGGAAGCTGGGATGTGTAGTAAACAAAGGGCTCCTGTTCAAATCCCAGCCTATTTCCAGACCCAAACATCTATAGCTCTACTTTTACCTGCCCTGCTTGTACGGTGCATGGGATTCCCATGCTCACAAAATGGAGATGAGTTGAATAAATGAAGTCGTCGGGTTGGTCCCAGGCTACTGAGAGTGGTGCTCTTGGGCTGGGAGTGCCTGAGGCTCCCGAGGGGTAGCAGATGGGTCCCTGCCTGGGGAAACGTTGTGTTTGGAGTCCCCTTGTGGTTCTTACTATGACTGCAGAAGACAACACAGCAAAACCCATCGGGGAACTTGGAGGATTCAGTTATTATTCACAGGTCCTGGAGGGTACAGAGCACACCCGGGGCCACACAGCAAGGCCATGGGTAGAGAGAGCACGAACCTGGGGCTCTGCCTTTATTAGGGTCCAAGGGCGGTGTCTAGGGTTAAACGGGTTCCCTTTTCATTGGCTAACTTAACGCATAAGACTAGGAATTAGGGCGCAGGGAGGGAGTAATGGGGTAGCTCAAGTGGTCAGTTATATAGGTTACCAGGGCTTTCTAAAAGGGAAATTAGGGGTGACCCAATTCCTTATCTGGCTGTTTTGCTAGTAGTTGTGTCAGTTTTTGTTTGTTTTTTTTTTACTTGTGCCACCAAAAAATTATTGAAAAATGTCCTAGCATAAACCACAAGAACAACTGGGTAGAAACACTCTCCTTTGTATTTATTGATTTGAGAGAGAGAGAAACATCAATTTGTTGTTCCCCTTATGTATGCATTCATTGGTTGATTCTTGTATGTGCCCTGATCGGGGATCAAACCCTAAACCTTGGCACATTGGGATGACACTCTAACCAACCGAGCCACCCGGCCAGGGCGCCTGTATTCTCTATGGGCTGGGAAACCAGAGCAGTAACTTCATTAGAACATGCGCCGGTGCCTGTAAGTTCTGAGTGAAGCCAAGAGGGCGCTCACTTCTTAAACGTGCTTTACTTACTGCCCGCCTGCGGAAAATGCTTCGAAGTACCGCGTACATTTACTTCGGGTCACTTACTGCCTGGTAGAAAGCCGAGGCCGCCCGACGGCGTTATCAGACAAGTGAGATTTTTGGAAAACTGTCTTCAGCAAACAATTTCATGTTTTGATTCACACAAGAGGCCTAGATGTACCAAATTTTCATAAAGTAAAACTCTTGGAAAATAACACACCACCTTAGGGAAGACTTTAAATGGACTAAAAGAGGCAGATTTAAAGTTTCACTGGGCATAGGAAATAAAGGAAAGGACAGATACTGTATTACTTCAATTTCAGCTCTCTAAGGAAGTTTTATTTCTAAATTTGCCAAGGAATCATCTGTTGACCATGAAACTGTCCCCAAAAGCATGGCCCTCCTGACCGATCACAACTCTCCTCAGTATCGAGGCTTCGACAGTGACTCACATGATGAACATGTCACATCAGCCAGGACGCCCTGCTCGCTGACTCCTGAGTAAGAGACAGGCCGCCCCACGATCGCCTTCAGTGCACACTTAGGCCAATTTTCAATGAACTCTGGCTTGAAGCAAGCATCAGCTGCTTTCGTGAGAAGCCAGGCGCTACCGGTAACTTTAAAGGGTTGAACAGGCTTTGCTTGACTAACCCTTATCGGAGGTCTGTCCGCACATTTGGAAATATCCCCTCATTCATCTGGATGGATGGGCGTGACTGTCTCCAGGCCAGAAAGTGACTCCACGTCTTAGAAACCTGATCATTCCCACCTCTCCTGAAGTCACAGAAAACCCCTTTTCCTCCCATTCGTCTCCCTCTCCAACTTCTGAACAGGCCCCTTTCTAAATCTCTTGGGGGCATGACAACCACAGAGGCACGGGCCTCACACACGAAGCCACCTGGGCCCACGGATTTTCTTTGTCAGGTTCTGGTGGGGCTGCTCCTACCCTGGCCCTGGTCCCTCTGGGTTCTGAGAGGTTGAGAACTTGTCCCGAGAACTCCTCTCATCTACTGGACACGTGGGACTTGAACGCACACACAGCAGCACGGCCCTGGTTCCTCCTGCGTCTCCATCCTGGGGCCTTCCGTAGGGTTCTGAACNCTCCTGCGTCTCCATCCTGGGGCCTTCCATACGGTTCTCATGTGCTCCTTCTAGAACGTTCCTGCCCAGCTGTGGCTCCTTCAGCTTATACTCTACCCATCACTCAGAGTCCCCTTCCGTGGTCCATTTCACCTCAGCCTCACTGTCTCACCTCCAGCTAGACGGCCCCGAGTGCGTCCTGGCTGACGCCCGTCCCTCAGGACCACCGGGCAGCCCCTGTCCCTGGGCGGGTGACCAACTCCAGGGATGGTGCTCCTTTCCATTGAGATCTGACGGGTGTGGGATTTCTGTACCTCACCCTTTCACATTAAAAACAACAGAACCAGTCTGAAGGACATTAGAGTTTGTTGCATCCTCTGCAGACTCGTGAAAGGCAAGCGCCACAAGTTGTCACTAATGACATCCTGGCTCAGAAGGTTTCCTTCAGGCTCATCCCCCTATTGGATTTTGCACCCCCTCTCCTGTTAGAGACAAGCAGTGGTGGCACAGCAGTCGTTTCTCCTGAAACGAACAGAAAATAACAATGCCCCTGCTGTCACCCACGTTCCTGTGACTTACATCGCTCCACACTCTGCACCATCCAAACACGGTGATCACAGAGCTTTCCAGACCTGGTCACATCCGCGATGCACGTCCCTGCTCTCAAAGGCGCCTCTGTTCCACTCCTCACCTAATCACCTGCCCTGCTGAGAGCCATCTTCACCGGGGGGTGAGAACTATGCTTACGGGGCAGAACCCAGGTCTAGGGGAACCAAAGGACACGTCTGCCAGTGAACGTGGAAGGGACTCCCTGAGGATGGTTCACCACAGGAGCTATGGAGTGGCACCGGGGCTGCGGAGTCCCGCTGAGTCCTTCTCATGGGTCTGTGGCTGAGACAAGAGGCATTTTATACAAGGAAGGGCCTTGCCGTAAGTCTGGGCATCCAGGGTCTGAAGGCTGACACAGCAGTGACAGGACAGGGCTGGGAACAAGTGCTCAGGTGGAACAGAACGGGTGCAGCACAGGTTTCTGGGTGAGCGCCCCAAGGTGAGGCTGCGCCCCCTGCTCATGGCTCATTAGCAGGGCGTGGATTTTAGCAACACCTCTGATACCACCTCGAGGGCGGCTCCCCTGGGAGAGGAGGCGCAGTTAGCGGGTCATGAGCATGTTATCAGCCAGGGTCTTCCTAATTTTCTCTCCTTAATAGTATCCTGTGTACCTCATTTAAACACTGCCTTTATGGCTTCTACGAGGAGTTCATGCAGGTTTCCTACTTGGAAGAAACTTTCCTTGAAATATTGAAGTATAAGATTGCAACCAGCTATGATTTTTATTTATTTCCGTTTATAAATTTAAAAAGTCTCTCGTGAACTCGACAGAACATCTTCACTCGGGGCTTCTGTGGTCACGTTCTGAGCCTTAGTGTAGGTGACTGCAGGTGACAATGCACCTGCAAAACATCATCTCACCTGCTTTACAGGCCATGTTCTCCAGATGTGCTTAACTCCAGAGAAACGCATACAGACCTCTTAGACACCGACTATTATTGCGAGAGGGTAGAACATTTATTGCAGCACAATACTACAGGCGCTCGCTCTCAGGGCATCACTCCTCTCACTTTATTGCGGCAACTCTCGATTCTTTAGTATAAAGAGAAATCGAAAGAAAAGGTACCTACAGTCTCGGGTTAAGAAGTTTGCTGAGATCTGGCGACCTGGACCCTATGTACAGGATATAAACATATTTATACTTCATATGTACACAGTTAACGGTTCCCTATTCATTATAAATAGTAGGTTTAACTTAGGTTCTACAAAAATAATCATTTTGGGTGGGCGCATGCAAACCAGTCCACATAAACTTACAAAACAAATCTCTATGCTCTTTATTTGCTTTTAAATATAAATGCTGCTATTTAGCCATGAGCTAAATGATTTCAATGCAAACCCCGAAGTCCCCAATTAGAAGTAGAAAATCTGCTCTATCCATAGCCGCGCTGCTTCAGGTACCGGTCAGCTAACAGAAAAGTCTAGATAATTTCGTTGCGGATGAATTACAGGTACCCGTCCCGTCTCCAGGGCGAAAGCTCCCTTTGTTCCGCGTGTCCTGTTCTCAGTGTTACAAACTGCGGGTGCTGGTTAACGATCCTTCGGCCTCTCCCTCCC